AATGATTTTGATTCGTCGGCTCGAGATCGTTTTGTTGCGGCAGAGAGAAGAGAAGCTGTTGCATGAACATTGAGAGCAGACAACATCTCATTGTTCCGTTTTATGTTTACTAATCTTTTGCGTTCGTAATCAGTCGCCATTGAAGCATCAATGAGAGAGAAACAGAGGAAAAATATCCTCTTTACACTAAAAAAACATCGAAAACCTAATTACATCTGATTGGTCGGAGATGGGCGGGAGGGAGAATCACAATTACCGCCAGAAAAAAAAAATCCATTAATTTTTTTATATATGTTAATTACAAAAGAGGCCTTGGTTTTTATAAAATACCCAAAAAGACCTTAATTCTTAAACGGTTAAACCCTAGAGGAAAAACCCAAATCTTCGTCATTTCTATTGCTCTGCTCTGCGATTCTTCGTCTCTGTCAATGGCTCGATTCGTTAGATGTCTGAAAAGAACAGTCTTTTCTAGTTCGATTGCGTATCGGAACCCTAAAATTGGTTTGCCCACTAATCAAAAGCCTAAATTTTTAATCAGCCACAGATGTTTGAGCTCGGGGAGTTACGTGTCGGAAATGCAGAAATCAGCTTTCCAAGGAAACATTTTGAGATTGATCCGTAACGAGATTGAGTATGAACTCGATCACTCGCCTCCATTTCAGGTATTCGATGATTCATTTTCGCGGTTTTTGATTTTTTTGGTAAAAAGCTAGAAACTTTAAGCATTCTTTGGAATCTGATTTTGAAATAGTCTAATAGAAGATTTGGTTATTTGGTATTGGAATCATATAAATGTTGATCTGCGAAACTTAAGTTGATACAATTTGTAAACTTTTGGATGAATAATGTGTACATTCTCTAAAGTGATATATCTCATTTTGGGATTTGAAAGATGCGTAAGTTCTTATTTGTGGTGTCTACATTTGTCTAATTTTGAGCACTTTGATTATACGTATTCGTAGCCTCCGAGTAGTTTCGGTCCATTCGCTATCGATGAACGGCCTGGAGAGCAATGGATTAGCTTAAGAAGGAAATTTGGGGAGAAAGAAGACATCAAAATCGAAGCAACCATGTTTGATAAATCAGTTCCGTCGTCAAAATCTACTAGCACGGAACCTGAATATCTTCTTCACATCACTTTCATTGTCAACATCTCTAAGTGTGGTTCTGGTGAAACCTTAGAGATCATGTGTTCTGCTTGGCCAGATACTATAGAGATATCGAAACTCTGCGTTCGTAAAAGCATCAAGAGTTCACCCTCTTCCTATGGTGGACCAGAGTTTGAGTACGGTGACTTAATTCTTTTCTTGAACATTGAAATTGAGATAGAGGATTACTATGAGAGAATGGTGAAGTAATTGTGTGTGTCTTTGGTTTTGGTTATTACAGGGAATTGGATGATAACCTTCAAGACGCTCTGTATCAATTTTTGGAGGAAAGAGGTATAAGCGACGACCTTGCGGTTTTCTTGCATCAGTATATGAAGAACAAAGGTAAAGGCGAGTACGTTAGATGGATGGAGAGCGTTAAATCTTATGTCGAGCAAAAATAGACATCGGCCTGCAAGTAAAAGTCTTTTGGCTTTCCACAGTTTGATTCCTCAGAAATGCAAATGTATCTGTGAGTATGACACTCTTATTTACATATGCTTAAATAAATTCAATTGCAATTTTTTTGTAGATTGGATTCTAAGCTTGCAGATTGTGTAAACACTACCCTTAGATGCATAATTACAAGCACTGAACTGTCACATTTTCACATTATTTCAGCAATACATGTTCACCTTTTTGTAATGCTGCTTGTTTGCTCTGCTTTTTTTACCAGATATGGAGATTGAAAGTGATTTAGAAAGTGCAGTTTAGTAAAATGATGACTTCTTTGATAATCTTGTTTCCCCTTAGGTAACTTGCTATCTAACACTTTTGTCTGAATTGGTGACTTTTAAATCAATTCTAGTGTTTCCTTGACAGTTGAGCAACTCCATAGAATTTGTAATGGTCTTTTAATAACT